GAGCCAAGCAACTTTGGAACATAAACAAAACTCCATATTTAAGAATCCTTATATATATGAGGAAGGAGGATGCTATGCAAAAACTTGCGGTATTTGGAGACTGGGAACAACAAAAAGCCTAAAACTTTAGCCTTTAAAACGGCAGTTCTATTTTATGTCAATAGGATTGATTCACTTTTTTCTAGCGTAAGTGCGTCAGAAATGGTGTCCAAAATTTTGTTGACATTTATTATACCTCATCTAAATTGATACCATTTTGTTGAGGAGCACATTTTTTTGGTACTGTACTTCAAGTGCCTCAAGAAATCAAATTTGAACCTACAGGCATTATAAACATCAAGAAATAAATTCAAACTAAAAATGAACAGCCACCCAGGAGTTAACCTTATTAAATATCATTGTAGCAAAAAGTATATAGGTGAAACAAAATTGCTAATAAAAACATGCATGCAATAACACAAAAACAGTACAATAAAAAATAAAACAGAACGATCTGTATTAGCCACACACATGAGACATTGTGTACAACTAATTAAATGGGACAGTTGCAAGAAAAAAAATTTTTGTTAATTAAAAGTTTTTTATTAGCTTAAAAATTAAATTCTTTTTATGGAGAACGTTTTTCTATATTACTAAGGGTGGTTTGGGTTTGTCTACTTATTATTAAAACTGAGTTTACCTAAGTATATAGTTGCATTGAAATTGTACTGAAACTGATAGTTATGAATTGATGTATAAATATTTATTATTTGAGTTCGTATTGTATATTGCTTTGTATTTTATATTTATTATTATTATTATTAAGGTTTACAAATTGGATTTGTATAGGCATGAAATGCCTGTCAACCTGTCTTATGATTACTATATAGATATACTAGTCATAAATTGTTTTTTCTTCTTTTAGATAATTGTCGAGTTTGTTTTTAAAATTGCTTACGGAAGTAGCATTTACAACGTCATCTGGGAGGGAGTTCCATTTATATTGCTAGTATGTTAATTTGTCAGGTTTATTATATTTTTTATTTAGTATTAAAAAAAAAAAATTTTATAACGGTTTTTATAACACGGTTTTGTGGAAATGAAAAAAGTCGATGCTAAAAAGTTTAATAGGAAAGTTCGTGAGGCACTTCAAATTCAGTACAACGTATTGATTACGTACAAATACAATACAGCATATTAATTACGTATGTTCCAAGATTTCTAAAAATATTGAAAATTTATGTAAACTTAGAGATTATCTAAATAAAAAGAGCTTGACCCATCTCTATCACTCGTTTATCCATAATAGTATAAACTATGCAAACATTGCTTGGTGAAGTGCAAGAAAGAATAAGTTAAAACTTCTTTTTTTCTCGTCAGAAACACCTAATTCGTATTATTAATTTTTCCGATCGTTTTACTCATTCAAAACCTCTATTTAACTAAATGTGAATATTTAATATTTATGAAGTAAATATATACAAAACTCTATTTTCTCCTGACGTTTTTAAAAATATTTTTACTTTGAAGCCGGACAATAAGTATGTACTGAGAAAGGGGTTGTCCATTAATTACGTCAACAAAAAAGGGGGGAGGGAGGGTCTGAATTTTTTTGACAATTGTTGACAAAGAAGAGGGGGGAAGGACAAAAAAAGTTGACTTCAATACTTTATTTTTTTTCGAACATGTTACTTTTTTTTTATAAATTGAACTATTTCGAAAAAGGAAAATTAGGCAGCGTTTTTTCACAAAAACATGTTATTTTCCCTTGAATTTTTCGAAATTTCCCCTAAAATAGCCGATCATTGATCGTTAATAGGCCGTTATTTCGAGCGCTGCTCTTTCGCTGCATCTTAACATTGAAATACTCTGACATGCACAATTATTAGTATAATCAGGGATGCGGAGTCCCAAATAGACTCCTGTTTTATATCTCTATTTTTTACTGGTCTCTGATGTCTAAAAGCTTTGAACATGTCGGTTGATTTATGATTTGGTAAATAAAAAAAAATCATGAAATTTAATAACTTGAAACATATTGTTTTTAAGTCCAGAGTCCCTGAGTCCTAGCCGTCATTATACCTAAGGACTCCGGGTTCAAATAGAGATAGTTCCTCTAACTTAAAAGTCTTAACTTTTTTACCAATCCATAAGTATTTTTATATTATTAGAGCTCCTGGATACCAAAAACTAGGTAAAAGTGTTTTTTTTTGTAACATTCAAATCCGGAGTCCTTTAGGGACTCCGCATCCCTAATTATAATGTTATAATAAAGATGTTGGTAGCTCTTTAAAAACTGAAAAACTTTGTATATTGTAGCTTTCGACTCTTTTGTCTCAAAAGGTTGCCAACCCCTGGTTTATATAATTTGTTAAATACTTTTTTTGTTATTCTAGACTCTATTAAAAATAATTCGCTTTCAATGTAAATTTTTATTAGGTATAATGTTAAAGTGAGGAGAATTTTATTAATTTGAAATATGATTATAATTTAAACGTGCGAACATTTTTGTTGACCATTTAATTTTTTTTTTCTTAGAAAAAAAATATTAAAGGGTTTACAAAAAAAGGCTCTTTTGTATTTTTTAACTGGAATTATGTTTATCAGTTAAAAGTTTAAATTTTTTCTATACCTATAACTTTAATTCACTTTTTGTTCAGAGCAGCATTTGTAATTTTAAATGATTATATTCATTTAAAAAAAGCTAAAATTTGAACACATTTTTTTTCTAAAAATTTTACTTTGAACCATTTTATTTTTTCAGTTGTAAACTAGTGAATTTAAAATAATTTTTTTTCATCTTAAATTTTTTTTTTTTTTTCTTGAGGAGGAGGGGGCCGAATGTTGACGTAATTTTATAGGGGGGTCACTGAAAGTTTGACAAGTTGTTGACAAGGAGGAAGAAGGAGGTAAAAATTTTCAAAAAATTGTTGACGTAATTAATGGACAGCCCCAAATAACAATTTTCTAAATCAACTGTTATGTCAAACCATGTTTAATTAGCTTTGTATTGATTATCGTGCACCTAACCTTTGGAATAAAGTTATTTTGCAAAATTTTGATTTGCCTTCCTCGTTTTCTGTTTTTAAAACTAAGCTGAAAAACTGAATTCTTTCTATGGAGAACGTTTTTCTATATTACTAGGAGTGGTTTTGGTTTGTCTACCTATTATTAAAACTGAGTTTACCTAAGTATTTAGTTGCATTGGGATTTTACTGAAACTGATAGTTATGATAGTTTTGATTACAGTTTTTATTACAAGGCTTTGAGAAATTTAAAAATATATATATATAAAGTAAGTGTATACATATATGCATTGATATGCATGTATGTGTGTTGTGTGGGTATATGTGTATGTGTTTGCATTTTGTGTATGTGCCAATGGTGTATATATATATATGCTCGTATGTATGTATGTATATATGTATGTATCTACATACATACATACATACATACATACATACATACATACATACATACATACATACATACATACATACATACATACATACATACATACATACATACATACATACATACATACATACATACATACATACATATATGTATATATATATATGTATATATATATATATATATATATATACATATATGTATGTATGTATATATATATATATATATATATATATATATATATATATATATATATATATATATATATATATATATGTGTGTGTGTGTGTGTGTATATATATGTATGTTTATAAGTGTGTGTGTGTATCTGTGTATGTATGTATTTATATATGAATGCTTGTATATGTATGGGTGTACATGTGCTGTTAGTATGTTGTGTGTATGCGCTGGCATGGGTGTGTATGTGCTCAAGGCCGGCGCAATAGGGGTGTGTAAGGGGGTGTCACCCCATTAATAAATTTTAGTCGGCAAACTGGGCCTTTAGTCGGCAAATCGGACCATTTAGACTAGTTAGTCGGCAAATGTCGACCCTTTCGATATAGGTTAGACAGTCGGCAAATGTCGTCATGGCAGTCGCCAAATTTTGGAAAACGAGGACCGTTTTTTTTTTTTTTTTTTTTTTTAGTCGGCAAAAGTTGTAATTGCACCCCCCCCCACGTGACACCTACTCGCGCCGGCCCTATATGTGCTAATAGTCTATGTATTATCATCAACAGATTACTTTCTAAAAGTCGTGCATTCTGCTAAAATTACAGACAAAAACAATTATTTATGAGACATCATACTCTGGAGTGAGAAATCAAATACTATATTAAATATTAAAATGTATTATTTTCAAAAATTGGATTATGATATTTTAAATAGCCAAAATATAAATAACCAAGCTCACAATAATAAAAAAAAAAAACTCAATTTGGGAAATTTATTTGATTGATTACTACAATCAACGTAAATTTCGCAAACCTTCTAAACCAAGAAAAATCATCAGCTCTATTAGTTTAACGAAGCGTCACTGATAAAACCGGTTGATATATTATAAAAAAACGAAAAAAAACAAAACAAGAAAACATTAAAGATCTATATCAAATCAGCAAAACCAGTCAGCTTGAGCGGTTTTTTGGTGAAAAGACATCACGGTCTTCTACGAGTTTTCCGTTTCTTTATTATGCTATCTTTCTTTATTTTCTAACGATATCTTTATTTGTAATTAGTTTAATTTAATGTACTTTTATTTTACTTATATTTGTATAAAGATTGTAATTAAAAAAAAAAAAAGTACCACCAATGTGCTCCTCAACAAAATGGTATTAATTTAGATGAGGGATAATGTGTCAACAAAATTTTGGACACTATTTCTGACGCACTTACGTCAGAAAAAGGTGAAACCATCCCATTGACTTAAAATAGAACTGCCGTTTTAAAAATAGGATACAAACAAAAACATACAAAAAACTTTTAACCTGAAGACGCTGGTCGCAACAATCCAGCAAAAATTTCTTTTTAAAAAATAAATTTAGTATCGAGAGAAATTCGTATTTGTTGATGTTTATAAAATTTATATTTTTATTTATAGTTACTTAACGTACCTTAAATAAAATTCAACCAAACGCATTTTTTCTTTTTTTTCTTAGATAAAAATTTAAAAAAATTTTAAACCGAACAGTTCCTATGCAAAAAACATAATTGATTAAAATAAATTAGATAACTGATAAAACGATTTATAAACCATAAATTTTAATAAACTATTCATTATAAAAACCACTCCTGTGGTTTTTCTTCTGATGTTGCATATTACCATATTTTTATGAAGTGCTGTTTTGCTATAATTTTTTTATAAGTTGTTATTTATTTAGAAGTTTTATGGTGCAATGGGAACCAAAGGAAGTTGCAAGCATTTCAAATTGAGTTGTGTTTTTGTGTTGGGCTCTTTAAAAAATGTGCTTTACAATAAAAAGTTCAGTAGTTATGATTCTAATACTTAGTGGTTAGAAGGTTTTATGAATCGTATTTTATGACTAAGGCAATTAAGTATGTTAAGTATTATTTAAATATATATATATATATATATATATATATATATATATATTCATATAAAAATTAACATATTTAATTGTATTAATATTATATATAAAATTTCAAAAAATAAAATTTTCAGTGCTATTTTTTTTATACTTTTTCCAGTTTTTATTTATTTTATTTAATTTTTTATTGCATTATGCAAGTTTTCTTGTTTCTTTTACAAAAATCCTTAAAAAGTAATTCAAACAATTCTACAAAAGTCTTTCAAAAGTAAATCAAGCAATTTTTCCTAATACCTATTAAAAATGCAATGAATATTATCGGATTACTTTATGCTTTAATTGTTCTAAGCTTGATTTAAAAATTAAACTATTGTGCAGTTTTTCAAAGTGAGATTCGATATTGTGTTGTATCAGCATCAGGTATCTATCATTTGTTTGTATTTTTTGATATCTGAAGAAAATTACTAAATTATTATATTTGTTTTAAAAATTATTATTTTTAAAATAATAATTATCAGTACAACTCATATAATTAAAAATAAAGAGGAACAAAAAAAACTACATGTAAACAACAGAAAAAAAAAGTCAAGCAATTCTTTGCAATGAATAAACGTCTAAAATATAGAGAAATCTACATTAAGACATATGCAACAGCGTTTACAAAATGCTTTGTCTCTGTGTCTCAACCGAATCAAAATCATGTTTGAACGATTATTTGGTTATACATTTTAGTTAAATAAATAGTGTTCCAAAAATATATAGGCAAAAAAACAATACTTACTGTTAAAGACTCTTTGAAAAGTAGGTGAAATTTCCAAGATAAAAGAATATATATATATTTTTTTAATAATAAAAAGAAAACTAATAAAATAAAGTAGGCATTAAAAGCTATTCGTAAATGTATTTTTGGTTAATTTACTTGTCTAATTTTTATAATGGAGATAAAATCAGGGATAAAATAGAGATAAAATTGAAAATAAGATGGATATAAAATTAAAACAGAACAGTCTCATTTTAACTTAATTCTTTTGTTTCAAATCACCCCTCAATGTTCATCACATCAAAACACCTCATTACTGTCAAATTCATCAAACCACCCCATTAAATCAAACTACTCCATTATTGTCCGTTACATCAAACCACCCCACACTAGAATAGTGTCTCATCGCAAGTAATTGTTAATAAATCTTTGCTTTGCATAGTTGTTTTAACAACACTAACAAAAAACAATACAGATAAAAAATGCATAAAATAAATAAGCATTTAGTGTTAATAAGCTACATAGTGGTCTTTAAAATTTTAAAAACTTTAAGATTTTTTTATATTTATAAATATTTTTATCAAAAATATTTCTGAAACTCAAAAGCAATTACAATTATTAAGCAATTTACAATTATTTGTAATAGTAAAGCTAACACAGTTAAGTTTACTTTTACAAACTATTACAAAAAACGACGAACTTTGTTTAAATAAAGCAGTTGTATATATGTTTTATTTGTTACAATATTTATGAGAATTTTCAGTCGTTTTAAAAATAATTTTATAGGGTAAAATATTGAAATCATTTTTTGGAAATAATTAGCTATTAATTAAAATCAACTATGTTTTTAAGTATTTAAAATTGAATTTTATTTAAAATAATAATTTAAATATGTAAAAACGTTAAAAAAATGTTATTGTACAAATAAAAAAAAAATTAATTTGAATCTAGTTAGCTTTTTATTAGAATGTTTGTACAATAATTAACTGATTTCTGAGCACAACAGATTCACTAAAAACCGTTTCTATATATAAAAAACGATGTATATTTATACATAGTATAAATATAAACCGTATGTATGTAAACTTTGCATACAATCTTTAAATGGTAAATTAACTTGCTAATTACTTGCACAATCATGTAAATAATTAACTTTCTTAAGATTTTATCCAATCATATTATTATTTTTAGATATTATCCGATCAATTTTTCTAATTTCTTTTCTCCGACTTGATGTAAACGACTATTAATGGTGTTTTCCAAATCTTGTATAATAGGGTTTGACTTAATACACAGCATATTACTTACACACTCTGTAGAATTTATTATATGATAGTCAGTAACCATTTTTTCCACATAACGATTTTCTGTTACTTCTTGTTTTAACCCGTCGTTTTTAATATAAAAATTGTCATGCGCATCTTCATTTGAACTTACACATTTTCGATAATGTTTGTTTAGCTTTTTTGATTTTTTGGGTGGAGTAGAAGTAACAAAATCCTTACCGGGCGTATGTGTATGCATGTGTTTCTTACGATCACTTGAGTTGGTAAATCGTCGCAAACAACTAGAATATTCACATATAAAAGGACGCTCACCTGAGTGAACGCGTTTGTGAATTTTTAGATTTTCTGAGCGTGCAAATCGTTTTCCACACGATGGAAAGTGACACAGAAAAGGTCTTTCTCCGGTATGAACACGAATGTGGTTAACAAGTTTGTAACGCGCTCTAAAAGGTTTCATACTGCGTAGGCAGTCTTTCCAAAAGCAATAATAATATTGTTCATTTGAATTCCCGATAGAATTATTTAAGTTGTTTAAATGCATATCGCTTATGTGATAAACTATTTCTGATATTGTTTCAAATTGCCTATTGCAAACAACCTCAATTTCAGGTCTTGAACACGTGGAACAGTTTATAATCCACAAGCAAGGTGGTGGTCGACGTCTAAAGTAATCAATTTGGTTTAATTCAGAAACGTAAGAAGTTGAACCTCCGCCTAATGAAATAGCAGGCGGTAATGGAACAATTTGTGATGAAAATATTGGAGAAGGAAAAGGAACAAATGGGTACAAATGTGAAGTAGAATAAAAAGGAGAAGCCCGCAAAAAATGTGGACTAACGACTGAGTGAGAATTTAAAAAACTAACATCACTAGGTAGATTCCAAGTTATGGGTGGAAGTCCAGGAATCTCATTGTTCTTTGCCACTTTTTCTCGATTTTTATCTGAAGAGTATTTTATCGAACTTAAGCGTTCATCAAATATATTTTCACCATTAAAAGGCTGAAATTCTTGTGAAAAATATGTTTTTGTTGCCTCGTTTGGCTCGCTTTGTTTTAAAATACATTCATGTGTTTTTTCAAGAAAGTAATCAATTGAATACCCATGTACAATATCTTGTTCTTTTAAATTGACAGTTTCTTTTAGTTCCATAGCACTCATTTCATTGCTGCTCATTTCAAATGTGTTTAACATTTTATTGCCTTCTATTTTCTTTTCTTGTAAATTTTCTTTTGCGGTAAAGCTTTCTAATTCTACTATTGTACTGTGGATACCTGCTTCTTTTGTTAACAACTGTTGATCGTGTTCTTTTTTACATATTGAGTTTTGAAGAATTTGTTCTTGCAAATGATTTGATACATTGCTTGCCATTTCATTTTTGTTACTGTTGTTTAACCTTTCTAATTCGAGTGTTTTATTAAATGATGAAATAAAATTATTGCAGTTTGTTGGCAAAGAGGAGTTGCAAAATTCAATTCCATTTCTTTCATGAATATCATTTGTCTGATATAATACGGTTTGCTTTATATCATTGGTTTTGGTATACCCTAAAAAAATAGTAAACAAAATGTTTCAAATGGCTTTATATCATAGATTTTGGTATACCCTAAAAACAGTAAAAAAAAAACATATATATAATTATGTATGCAGAAAAAGTATAATTATGTATGCCGAAAGAGTATAATTAATAATTATGTATGCAGAAAACTATAGATTAGGGTTATGACTGAAAAATTTTTTGCAAAATCTTCTGTGGTCACAAATAATGAACTTTTGTAACTTAATTGTTTAAAAATAAGAATTGGTTCTAAAAAAGCGTTCCTGCAACAAGACACCCAATGGCATGGTGGGTGTCTTATTTTGTGAAAAATACTTTTCTCTTTAAGTAGGGCCAAGGGCAGACGGGGCAAGATAGCAAACGTTTTGAAAGTTCTGAGTTGTTGCAAAACTATCAGTTATGAAGTAATAATACTTGGCCAGTATGTTTATGTTATCATAATGATTTATTGTCTGCATGAATTTTCGATTTGAAAGAGAAAAATTTGTGCTTTGGTCACGTGATCGGGGCAAAATAACTTGCTGTGCAATTTCTGTCTCCAATTTTATAAAAATTTTACTATTCTTACTAAAGTAACACGAAATAAACACGTGTCGCATAAAAATATTCCAAGAAAAGTTACAACCGAAGGACACCGTCCATTTTGAATAACCAAATCCAAGGCATTTTTTTAAGCGCAAAAAATAAACTTATGCGTATAAAATTGCGTAAATTATATTTTAAAAAACCGATTGGCTTTTTAAATACAATATGTAAATAAAGTTTCGTTTTCACCCACGTTTTTTTTGTAGTTATATGTAAAGCCATTATGACCCATTCGCCATCCATTCGCTCCATTTCCCCTACATCAATATGAACCTCAAAAAAGTGAATTTTTAGAAAGGTTTCATAAATAAAAATCTTAATCAAACCTTCTTAGAAATGTTAAAAAAAATTGCTTTAAATAGTGTTTTTTTTTTTTCAATTTTTGTTAAAAAATGTTAGGATTTTTTTACAATAAGTTTTATTAAATTAAATGTTATTAGAAACTTTTATTTTTTAAATTTTTTATGAAATTTTCCTTTTTAGATCCAGCTTGATGTACTTTTGGGGAGAAATACTTTTGGTAATATTCATCCACCATATTATCGGATGGTAGTATTCATCCACCATATCATCGGGTGGTAATGTTAGGCATCCACCATATCATCGGGTGTTTGGGTACGGAAACATTTTTTTGAAATGAATCAGTATTCAAATGTTCATTGATTCTAAGTAAAGACCAAAAATTATTTTATCGTCGTAATACATGCCGTAGATACATGTGCAGATAAGATTAGTTAAAAAAGCATTTGAAAGGTAATGAATCAAAAAGCAATAAAAAAATACAAGAAAAAAACTATTATTTTAATAAGTTTTATAAATTTAAAAACTAAACTATTTTACGACAAAAGCCATAAAAATAATTTAAAAAAATAGAAAAGTATATTTCCATATATACTTTTCTGTTTTTTTATCAACACAGATCACCTTCATTTCGTTTTTCTTCGGAATCTGTTTCTCCGCGTTCGTCTGTTTTAAATCGAACTTCGTCTACGTTTCCCGATGGATTTTCAGAATGAGAGCAACTCATAAGTATGCAAGTATTGTTCTATTGCGAAAAATCCCAGTGCATAAAAATTTATTCTTTTGTTTAAAAGTTTTTCTCTTGTAGTACACACGCAGTTTCGGCTATGTCTTACTGTGCGAACATTCTCGCTTCTCGTATTTCACAATTTTGTTAAAAGTCTTAAAATGACAGCGATAAACCAATGACGATTAAGAAAAGCAGTGAAAACACAATGTTGAGTAAATAATAAATTGACCACAAAATAAACAAACAAAACACAATTCTGTAAATAAAAAATTTTGACCTCGGGTGATAATTTTTGCGTATAAAACGGTTGCGCTACTGCACTAAAATCGCTCTGATAAAAATTTTTTTTTTGCGAATTACTGTTACTAAAGTTACCGTCAAATATTAGAAACCGATTGTTTCTACTGTTAAAATAATATAAGGTAATGAAATGTTCGATAGAATTATGGATAAAAAAACAGTTTTAAACATAAAATTATGTTTAAATGCATAAAAAATGTTTTTATTTTTTATTTCTATTTAAACTTGTTTAAATTTATTTCAATTCAAACATTTAATATTTTTTTTAGAAGTTACTATTAAATGTCTTTTCTTATGCTAATACTTTCATGAAATCTTTAGTAAACTTACTTTTAGTAAACACACTTAATTTTATTTATTATTCCTGAGTACTATGCAAATATATATAACTTAAATTTTATTAGTTTTTGTGTTTTTCTTTTATATATATATAAATGATCTAAATACACATTTCAAATGAAACTTAATGTTTTTTATATACTTCGCATATGAAAAATGAAAAACTATTTTATTTTTTAAAAGCAACCTTAGATTACTATCGACCCTGGGTTATAGAAATATAATTCTGAAAATTTGTAAAAAACTTGATAAAGATAATGTTATAAACAAGTTTAAAAATTATGGTCTACGTATATTAGCAGTACCTTGGTTTGCTTGATAAAGTAAATCTAATTAAAAAAAAAAAACACGTACGCGGTTTGACTATTTCTTGTTCTCTATATCTTCAAAAACTTTTTTTTTCTTTTTCTATTTCTTTTCTTTTTTAACAAAATCGTTGAACTTCTCAAGTTAAAAAAATTTATATTATGTTATGTAACAGAAAAATCGTCGCGGCGATCTTTTTTTCCGTCAACGGTGGCTCCCAATATAAATGGCGGCGGTAAAAGTAAATTTTGAACCATCAAAATAATTTGAAAAATTATAAACAAACGCTTTATCGATTAAACATGCACGTGCGTTTCACCAATTTTAATAAGTATTCTGAAAATATGAACTTTTCTAATCGATTATTTAGATGTTTTTTTTTTAAAACATTAACTATACTTTAAAGAAAAAGAGCTATTACTAGCAATTTCACTTTTAGTTTTATTTTGGTTAAAATGCAATTAACATTTTCTTTTTATATTATGATCACGCGCGGATGCAGCATTTTTTGATATTTGAGATACCTAACTTCCAGACATGGAGCAAACTCCAAAAATTTATATGTTTATACTTATACCAAATAAGGATGCTTTGTAAAAAATTGCACCGGTTGGAGCTTGGGAACAACAAAGCTCCAAAATTTTAGCTACACCTGCCCCAAACATGTATACTATTCTTAAATAAATCTATATTCATCGATAAATTTTAAAACTCACATAATAATCTCTTAACGTTCAACAAGAATAGCCTAATAAAATTTGCAGCCTCCTCAAACTGAGGAGAGTTCAAACTTTTTAAGGTCATAGTTTTTAAATGTTAAAAGATTGTGTGAACTTTAAAATTTATCGATAAATATAAATTTAGTTTAGAATAGTATAAAAATTGTTTTATCAACTTGTTGCTCTCACGTTTGGGGCAGGTGTAGCTAAAATTTAAGGCTTTTTTGTTACCAGGCTTTTTTGTTCCCAGGCTCCAATCGGTGCAATTTTTTGCAAAGCGTCCTTATTTGATATAAGCATAAACATATAAGTTTTTCAAGTTTGGTTAGGGTTGCCATATCTCCGGATTTGCCCGGAGATCTCCGGATTTTAAAGCAAAAAATTAGGCTTCGGGGGATTTCAGAAAAAAACATGAAATCTCCTCTTTTTTAGAGATTTTTATTTAATTTTTATAAAAAATTCGATAATAAATAGAACTGAAAATGTAAAAACTATTAAATATAAAATGTTTTTAGTCACTAACAATTTATTGAAAATTCTCACACAGCGCATGTTTTCTTCTCTTGATTACACAATATTGAAAAATGCGTGCGCATATAAACTTGCGAAAACGAAAGTCGTGACCGATAAATTACGTTAAGGTAGGCACTTCAATATCTGAGCGTATAATATCGATAGCCGATAAAACACGGCTAAAGAAAAAAGATCTGAGGTTTTATGCCGACAAAAAAGTTTGAGGTGTATGTTTTTCAATCGTGCACCCGATGACTTAAAGCACAAAAACTTTTTGTTTGCTTATTCCAAAAAGTAGAACCACAGTTTATCAACAGTTTCAAAAATATTTTATTGAGATTTTCGTTTTTAGAGATAATTTGAATCAAAAACTAAGGTCATTTTATAACCCAAATATTTTTGAAGGCATTTAGTGTTTTTTTGATTTAATAAAAAAATTAACTATAGCATTATATTAAACTAATAATGTGCATGTTTTTGAATGGTAAGCGTTGATCACACAAAAAATATGCCTCCCGCCAAAAAGTAAACTTAAAAAAAAAATTTTTTTAGCACTTGTCAATTTTCAAGACTCAACTCGTCAATTTTCAAGACGGAAATTTAGTTTTTAAAACCAGTTTATTATTTTGGAATGCCTATTTTACATTACCATTAAACAAAATTTTTTTAAAAAAGTACTGTCACAGATTTATTATGTCAAATGTGGGTTGTTTTCTATTCATTAAAAGTCCATTTACTATAGTTTTTATTGGTATTATATTCTTAGTTTTGAATAGTAACGTTCTTGTTTATTGCTACTTTTGTAAATAAACGGGAAACGTTGACGCGATTCTTAAAAACGTAAAATCACTAAAAACCTCAAAAGTCATACAAAAAAAATCTTTAATTTTGTGGTTTAAAAGTTCAATAAGTTTTCAACTAATAATAATATAACAATAAGTTTGTTATTTTTTCACTGATCATGTTTAGCTCTAACTTATGGAGTTTGTTTTGTTATCATTTTACATTTTAAAAAAAAAAATGTTAAAGTAATCCTAGTTAAGGTAATAAAGTTTTTTGGTTGCTGCTACACAAGAGATAGTTCTTTTAATTTGAAGTTTTAAACTAAAAAAATTGCTTCACTCAATAATTTTGTCTAAAAACAATGTTATCTAGTTTAAAAAAGAGAGGAATGAGTGTGAAGTCAAATTCAAAATTTGCCCAGCTGGATCATTTATTTATGTTTCTCCCAAAGATAAAGAAATTACCTTATGTTAATTTTATTTATCTAATTCATCTTAAAATCATAATTAAGCCAAAATTATGCAAGCTATGTCACTAAGATTATGTAAGTTGTGTAGCCTTTGACCTGTTATTAGTCTCAATAACAAGAGTTAAAAGCTTTAAGTTGGATGAAACTTGACAGTATCCCTATTTGGGATCAAGTTGAAGACTTAATTGTAAACAAAAAAGCCCCCATTTTAATGTTAATAAATCATTGAGCCATGACCAATTTTCAAACTTATAAGTTCAATAAGTTTTTGTTATCAAACAAAGACTTATTGAAAAAGATAAGTTCAACAAAAAAGTATAGTTGGTATAATTTGTCTTCCCCCGTCCATAGTTCTTCCTCTGTTCCAACAAATGATTAGTCAATAACTGTGAAATTGATAACTGATTCAAGTGATTAGTTAGATACAAGTGACCAATGGTTACAAGATGACAATAAGGACAAGTTAAATAATGGAGGAACAATTATTGGCTTCCATTTATATAGTATAGTATATTTTAATATAGAATAACTAATAAGACTTAATTCATAGAGAATAAATAATTGTCAGACAGCAATAAAATTTTAATTAATTTTAATTGCAAAATGTGAACAATTTGCAATTAAAATTAATTAAAACAAATTGCTTGTTTTGTAATTAAAATTAGTTTTGCAATTAAAATTAGTAATTTTAATTGCAAAACCAGCAATTTGTGTTAAAAAAACAAATGACATTTAAAAAAAGGGGTTTTTATTTATTTAATTCTCATAAAAGGAGTCCACTGTGGTAATGCCTCGCTAAATAATAAAAATTCTCATTTATTTAACACGTATTGTAAAATCAGGGGCGGGTTATGTCACTCACCAAGAAGGGGGCTAAAAAGGTCAACAAAAAAAAAGTCTGCATATTTTCATTTTGAAGTTTTTTTTTATTTTTTTGTACTTAAGTGCAATAATCAAGTTCATATACGCATAATTACGTATAATAGTCAATTTCATTTGTTAGTATAGTAGTATAATAGTCAATTTACAAAAGAATTTTTTGAAAAAATGTCCTCAGGGGGGTGGGATAGAGGGTGCTACCCCATGCCCCCCCCCCCTAAAACCCGCCACTGTGTAAAATCTCTTTTTTTCAGTGATTACCATATGGCAACCCTAAGTTTGGTCCATGTCTGGAAGTTAGGTATCTCAAACATCAAAAAATGCTGCATCTGCGCCGGATGATGTATTTGTTTTCTGTTATAACTTATATATTAAGTTATAATTTATGATTCTCAATAGACAATAGGCTATAATCGAGTTTAACCTTTCTAAGTTATAAGGTTTATGAATCATATAATAGAGTTTATTAAATGTCAAAAATAAAAATAAATAAGCATAAATTAGTTTTATAAATTAAACTATACTAAAACATGATATATTACTGGACGTTAAAAAGATCTTATTGCAAGTTACAGCGAGATTTAGGGTTATTCAGTAAATTCTTATCTCTATCCCTATCTCTCCCTGTAATTTACATAAATTATATAAACTACACTGTAATTTATAACATGTATAAATGAAACTGTAATCTATATAACTTATGTAAATTACAGTGAGATTCAGAATTGTCAAGTAATAGAATTACAGTATAATTCAATTGCACACGTTTTTAATTCTTAGAACAATAAGGAATTTATTTTTCAGATTAAATTT